CATGGGTAACCGGTCATCATTGGATCATCACAATTATCATTTGTACGAAGTTCATTTATTATTAATTAAAAATGATGGATTAAATTTTCACGTGATCTTAATTTTACAAAAGAATAATATAAGATCTTGATATTTCACTTAAACTGTAGCAAGTAGTCAATAATCTTGTTATCAATTTGAACTTGCAAACAATATTTTTTGAATTAATTATTGATATTTGATCTATTAATCGACTAATCTAGATCGTGTATTACAGAGGCGATGACGACCCTCCCAACCCAGTTTGCTCCATTCGCAAACATCAATGTTCGAACCCCTGACCTTGCTTAAGGAATCTAGTACCTCATCTCACTAGACCAACTGATGGTTGGTAACTTACAAATAATATTTTAAATAGAGTATCAAATTATGTTTATTAAATAAAGAAATTAAATATCAATTTTTACCATATAAAAAGGACTAAAACATAGTTAGACCATATAAGTCCTTCAACTCGTCATCGTGACCTTTTCCACATGTTGGAAAAAAGGATATTACTTCACCCAGCTAATTCCCTCCATGTCGGCCTTAAAGAATCATCGTCTAATGTCAAAGATGATTGTTCCTGGCGTTATCGCAGAACAGACGTATCATGGCCCTCCCTCTTTTACTCTGCCGTTCGTCCAGCTCGCTCCACGGGGTTTAAGTAGTTGCAGACTGAAGTTTCTTAGCTTTTGTTAGCTTCCTTTGTTCACCAAAAAATAAATCATTGTTTAATTAAATTTAATGTTAAACAGGTTTTTTTTCCAATACCAAATTAGCATAAAAATTTATTCCTGCAAATGATAGATTTAATGAAATTTGTTGTTTTTAAAACACGAGCTTAGTTACCATTCACCATACCCATGTATTCATTTTTTTCCTCTTAAAAATATTTTAAAAATTTTAACTTACTTATTTACATAAGTACAAAATAAATAATTTCATACCAATTACAAATTAAATAAAAGTTTTAGTCAACATTTTCATTTAAAAAACTATTTGATTTTTTTTCAAAAGTTGATGGAATTTCAACAACCCATTAAGTTGTGGCATGCGACTATATATATCATTACATGTTAAAATTGTTAAATTCAAATATCAAATTAGACAAAAAAATATCAAAGGAAAGACAAATTTCGGTACAAATTGTAATTTAAAAAAAGAAGCAGCATAGGTACCAATACCATATTAGAAAAAACTCAAAAAAGTAACAAATTCGGGTACCAATCATTTAATTAACCCTTGGTTTAACAAGCGTACGCCATGGCAGCTGCATTTGATAAACCAAAACCTGAAGTTCAAGGGTTCAATGATTAACCTATCAAGAATCTACGAAATTCGTTTGTAAACATACTCCGAAGCTCACTCAGATGTTTAGCTCAACGGCAAATTTAAAATGTCCCAAGGGAAAACCATGACCTTCTGTTGTTTTCAGGAGTAACAGAGCTATTGCTTTTTTCTTCCACCCTTCCCGGACTTGGAAGATCCGGAAGTACTCGATGTCGATGGAGCTTCCTGCTTCTTAGTCCTTCCCGGATGTCTAGGTACCAACTCCGCAACTTGGAGCTTCAGCTGTTTGCCTGCAACCACACAAATTATGGAACTACAGCGCATAATTCACTCCAGCGCTACTCTTGTTCTTCTTCTCATTTAATTTTAATGAAAAAAATGAGACACATGCAACACTTTTCCCTTCATAATCTAATTTCGCAAAGTCGAAGATGGAAAGTGTTTTCACACCATCAAATAACTCGCGTTTTCTACAGAAAATATGGCGCTTTTGTTTCAAAGTTCCATTATTTATTCTCAAACTCAAACTGGCTGTATAAGTACGTTAAAAGACGACACTTACTTAAGGAATGGCTGGATTGCTTAAAGTCCCATCCTCCTTTTTCAATTGAACCCTCACTCCCCCTCTTTGCATGAAATCACGAGGATATGCCTTGTCAATCTGTACAAATCAACTTTAACTCGGTTGTATAACAAATATAAAGAATTAGTTTGTTCAAAAGCAGGTAGAGTAAAAATTTGACAAATCATTCAACAAGTGTGAGATGAATAGGTTATTTGGCATTTTCGTTCAAAAGCCCCAGTTCCAAGTTCCGCAAATGATTTTAACATCCTTGTCATAGGATGCCAAAATCATTTAGCTAATAAATAGCTCTAAAGGTAGCAAGACGCTGAGGTTTGAGCAACCTTCTTGTCAGGTAAATCGGTGGCAGGGGAAACAAAGTTTACAAAAGGCACGGACAATAAAAGTGAATACTAATTGTATAACTAAAGATAGGTTTCGGAAACAGTGCACATGCAAAGGGAGAAATCAACAATGGATAAGGTAAACACTGTATGTGTAGACCCACACTCTAGGAATAGACCCTTGAATGATGAACGGAGCAGTGCACGAAAACCCAAAAACCATACTTGTGGCATTCAGAGACCATAAGAGTTTTACATCCTCAAAGGAGCAATATACAATGTGTGACAACCTCGGTTAATTTTGATTCACCCAAGGAAATAGTATCTGTTAGAATTTGATGATAGAAAGTCCTAAATGTCCATTTATTGGTAGATTCACGGGGTAGTACAGAAGGGCAATGATAGAAAGCAACAAGAGTAAGACATATCTTCATTTATTTCGATTGTTACAGAAGGAAAAACACATATAATTGTTGCTATCCACAACAGATTCAACCATTGCTAATGGAACTATTTAGCAGGTTACTTGAAACCTCAGGTTCTAATCAGGAAAAAGTTCATATTAGATTTCAACAAAACCTTCTACTTGGAAACTGATACAAGCTCTAAAGGTGTGGGGGCAATTCTCTCTCAAGATGGCAGACCTGTGGTTTACTAAAGTAGAGATTTGGACCAAAGCATGTTGATTTTGTCTATATATGAGAAGGAGTATTTAGCCATACTCATGGCTGTGACAAAATGGAGGCACTACCTAGAAGGAAGACCTTTTGTTATAAAATAGATCATGAATCCTTGAAACATCTACTGGAACAAAAATTGACTACTACAATACAGAAAAAACAGGTTACAAACTTCTTGGGTTGGATTATTTAATTCAGTACAGAAAGGAAAACACAACAAGGTGGCTGATGCTTTATCCATGAAGCATGAGGAAGGAGTTGAGCTAAACCAGTTGAGTGCTACTATGGTAATTCCAGCTTGGGTACAAGAAGCAGAGCTAAGTTATGAAGGAGATTAAATAGCTAAGGATGTCATTACTACATTGGCAGTGTCAGAGAATGCTGTAGAGGATCAGACTTTTTCTAAAAGCATACTGAGATACAAAGGACGGGTGTACATAGGTGACCATGGAAACCTTAGACAACAACTTTTTCAAACACTGCATGATACTCCACAAGGGGATCATTATGGGGTTACTGCTACCTGTCACAGGATGCAGTTATACTTCTATTAGAAAGGGATGAAAAAGATGGTGCAATAGTATGTGCAACAATGTGAGATTTGCTATAGAATTAAAGATGAGCATGTGTGTTTTTTTTACAATGTGAGATTTGCTAGAGAATTAAAGATGAGCATGTGTTGAAACCCAGGTTATTACAACCCCTGCCAATACCTCAACGAGCTTGGGAATTTATAACCATGGATTTTGTGGAGGGTTTGCCTTAATTCACAAAGGTACAATTGCATTTTAGTAATTATTGATAAATTCACTAAATATGCACATTTTGTGCCCCTAGTACACCCCTTTACAGCTGCTGAGGTTGCCAAGGCTTACTTATCAAGTATACAAGCTACATGCACAGCCTAAGATTGCTCTTTTTTAAAGATCGAATCTTTACTAGTGTGTTTTGGAAGGAACTACAAAAATTGTTGGGCACTACAACCATATTTACCACTGCATACCATCCTGAGACTAATGGTCAGACAGAGAGACTCAATCAGTGTTTAGAACAATCTAAGGGAACTGTGTTTTGCTAGACCAACTACCTGGGTGAAATAGTTGTCCCAAGCAGAATGGCGGTACAATACCAGTTTCCACACTTCTTTGGGAACTACCCCATTTACGGTATTGTCTGGCTACATGCCTCCAACCATGACCTAGGTCACAGAATAAAGGGTGGCAGATGTGCAAAGCTCATGCAAGAGAGGGATCACCTAAATAACTTCTACAAGATCAACTCACTAAAGTACGACAAAGAATGAAGCATTTTGCAGATAGAATATAAGTGATCGAGAATTCCAAGAGGGAGATGAAGTTTACCCTTAAATTGCAACCTTATAGACAGACTTCAGTTGCTCTGAGAAAGAACCTTAAACTCTCAGCAAGGTATTATGGTCCCTGTAAGGTTTTGAAGAAAATTAGGTCAGTTGCTTACCACCTGACACTATTAGCACACTCCCAAACATCCAGTATTTCATGTGCGTATGCTCAAGAAGAAAGATTGGAGAAAAAGCAATTACCTCCAAGGATCCTTCGGAAGTGAATGCTGATGGACAAATCCGAGTGTATCCTGCCATGGTTTTGGATAAACGAATAATATAAAAAAGAAAATCAAGCTACAACTCAACTGTTAATTCAATGGTCTATCTTGGGTTCAGAGAATGCTACCTAGGAAGACTTTTCGGTTCTGAAATCACAATTTCCTAATTTCGATCCCTGGGGACAAGCATCTACTGTAGAAGTGGGTATCGTAACGACCTAGGAGGAGAACTAGGTTTTGTAGAAGGGGAAGTGGGGAAAGAGCTAGGGATTACTGAGGAGAATTGGGAATTGAAATAATAAAAAAAGGGGAAATGAAGTTACATGATGGGAACGTGGAAGAGGAATTAGGGTTTGTAGAGGGAATTGGGGAAAGAGCTAGGGATTGCTGAGAAAAAATTGGGAATTAAAGCTGAGAAGGGAGAAATGAAGTTAGCTGGTGAGAACGTGGAAGCCCAACTGGAGTCAAAATACTTGAGTGATAAAATGAAGTGGATCGAAGAAAAAGGAAGTGGGTCATCAGCTCTTATGACCCAATATGAAGGCAGTGCATCATCAATTCATGGACATGCTCCAGCCAAGTGAAGCCCCACGAACGGTTAATGGAATCTGCTACAAGGACGCATAGTTGGCAAACAAATAAATAAAATTAGCACATGGAAAATCAAATATATATATATATATGAATGTGTACCGTGAACAAGTTCCTTATGAATGAAAATATCAGAATTCTCTTCTTTTACCTTAAAATTCCCTCTATTTTCTTAAATCCTTTCTTTTATTACGAGCTCAGTCCTGACATGTTTTAAAATAGGTTATCCCATAATAAACTACTCATAGATTTATCATGATACGAACACAATAAGTAAAAGAATACACTACACATATTGTCACAAAAGTTTTGTAAGTTATATTTTAATTATTAAAGTTATTAATAAATTAATATATTATGAGAATTGATGACGTTGATGATGAATTAGACTATATATATATATTAAATATCAAGTTAATAATTTAGTTATTAGAGATCAATATGGATATTTAATTTTCTATACATCATCAACAAGAAGGGAATCAATCACTAGTAACAAGAAGGGAATCAATCACTAGTAACAATTAGGGATCGGCCTGGGTAGTGGTTATGGGTTAAGTGCATCTCCATTCTTTTGGAAAAGTGATTAAATTTAGTTTAATATGTTAAGGAAAAAAGAAAAAAAATTTACAATTTTTGCATACACATTATTTTGAAGAAAAGAAAATTAAAATTTTGAACCATCATTCTTAAATTTCTAGATCCGCTATTGGGCATGGGTCGAGTTGGGTCTGATTTTTAGTCCACCCGGCCTGACCCGAGAACAAGAAATCCTCCACCCAAGATCCGACCCGACCTGACCAAAACAAGATTTCATCCGACCCAAACCCTACCCGAAATAATAAAAAATATTATTTTATTCAATAAAAACATGGACATAATTAAAAAAATAATATATAGAGGGGTATTATTGTGATTTTATAAATATATAAGGTAAAATTATATATTTTTTTCGGGTTGGGTCAGGTCGAGTATTTTTCACCCTAAACCCGAACTGACCTGAACAACACATTTAAAAATCTGACCCGACCTGAATCCTATTTTTCTTTAAAAAAAATCGATCAGGTCGGGTCGAAATCCGTCGGGTTTGGGTTCATGCCCATTCCTAGTAACAATTTTGTGGATTATAGACAATGTTAGTGACAAAAATAACTTATGAAATTAGATCAAAATAAAAAATGAATATTTAGTGATATCGAGTGTAGTTTATCCAAGAAATACAAATTATATCCACACCATTCATTAAAAGGACGAACGCGGACGAACGGCTTCGATCAGTAAACTACAAGATCTCTAACGTAGAATCAACCGCACAAAATTAAAGCTTTTTAGGGTCCTTTCCCCTATATTCCTTCCGATCATCATCTTTGCTTAATTTCTCTCTCGATTTCTCAGGTAAGAAAAGAATAATTAAATTAAATGTTTTATTTTTCAGAATTCAATTATAATTTATTTAATATTTAGATAATCGGAATCTTTTATATGTTGTAATTGTCGGTTGGTTGATTGTTTGTCGTGGTTGAAGAGGGGGTGGGTGCTTTATTTTTTTGTTCACAGTTCGAAAACAGGGTTATCCCGTTCGAATCTTCAACAATTTGGGTTTTTTTCTTTCAATCGGAATTTATTAATTTGTTTATTGTTCAAGTAAAATGATTCTTTGATTTGTTGTAATTGTTGGTTGATTGATTGATTGTTGTTTGTGGTCGAAGAGGATGTGGGCTGCTTCATGCCTTGCTTCGTGTTGTGCTGTGTGCGCCTGCGATGCGTGCCGCACGGTGGTTTCAGGGATTAGCCGGAGATCGGCGAGGATCGCCTATTGTGGACTTTTTGCCCTTTCTCTGATTCTTTCGTGGATACTTCGTGAGGTTGCTGCGCCGCTTATGGAGAAGCTCCCTTGTAATTTTCGTTAAAACTCTGCCTCTCTTAATTCGGTTATTGCTAAATTATGCGAGTCACGTAGTTAGTTTGTTTTTAGATTTCAATAGGAAAAACAATTGTTGATGTTGAATCGAGTAAATGATGACGCTAAATAGTTAGTAGTATAATAGCATTAGCATATGCAATGTGCAAGGAGGATGGGTTATTTAGGATTTGTTTTTGTGGTAATTTGTCTCACAAGCGTCGTTTTACTCTGAGCTAAGTGCCTTATACATGTCGCATTAATGTATTATGTCTTTTAGGGAATCTGAAGAAAGCTAATACTTCGATTTGATTATGGAATTTATCACCATTCACCATGTCTTTGGATATGATTTATCGGATTAAATCTGTGTTTCGGATTAATGACAAGCTTGTTCTTTTACACATTTTCCCTCGAGTGATAATTGGTTCTAGTACCGTATTTCGCTTCTATCTGCCCCTTTTTGGTTGTCTTTAGTTATTGATATGTGCCTCCATGTTTCATGTATAGAATGCTTAAAAGCAAGCTTGCTGGCTGCATCTTGCATATACTCATTTTGCTGATTTTGTTAATATGCCATTGTTATTTGTGCAGGGATAAATCATTTTCATAAAACACCGGACAGGGAATGGTTTGAAACGGACGCGGTGCTGAGGGTTAGCTTGGGAAATTTTATGTTTTTCACTATCCTGTCAGTTTCTATGGTTGGAGTGAAAACTCAGAGGGATCCTCGTGATGCTGTGCACCATGGTGGATGGATGATGAAAATTATTTGTTGGTTCATTTTAGTGATTTTAATGTTTTTCGTTCCAAATGAGATTATCAGCTTCTATGGTAAGCTACATTCTGATGGATCATTCTACAAGATTAAGAATATTATCCTTGTCTAAATGTTTTACAGGCTATAGGAGATAATGTTCTTAGAGACCATTTGCAAATATGATTAGTGGAGATAATAATTTGGCTAAAATTGATTATAGTCAACTTAAACTTACACTTAAATTTTGCTTTTGCAGAGTCAGTATCAAAGTTTGGTGCAGGACTGTTCCTTTTGGTTCAGGTTGTGCTTTTGCTTGACTTTGTTCATGGATGGAATGACAAATGGGTCGGATACGATGAACAGTTCTGGTTAGTTTTGTTTTCTGACATTTTAATGGGTTCACTTCTTTTTATTGTTCAGATCAACTGATATCCTTGCCTTTTCTCTAGGTATGTTGCTCTGTTAGTTGTTTCACTTGTCTGTTATTTGGCAACATTTGGCTTCTCGGGACTTCTCTTCCACTGGTTCACTCCATCCGGACATGATTGTGGACTCAATACCTTCTTTATCGTTATGACCTTGATTCTTGTTGCTCTGTTTGCCATAGTTGCTCTGCATCCTGCTGTAAGTCTCTACTTTTGGGTCTTCATAATTATTTTATCCCATCAATATCAATTTTATCCCATATTTTACCTTGGCTCGAGTCGATGGCGCTGTTAGATATATTATACTGTTCCATGATTGATAAACTGTATACCTTTTCAAACATGCATTTGTAGTGCAACTTTATCACCGTACCATATTTCATGCCGTTTATACAAGTATGTTGATGCACATATTCCCAATGTGTATATCTTGTTGAATTCTTATGTTTAACAGGTTGGCGGTAGCATTTTGCCAGCTTCAGTCATATCATTGTACTGCATGTACCTATGCTACAGTGGACTTGCAAGCGAGCCAAGAGATTACGAATGCAATGGTCTTCACAATCACGCTAAAGCAATTTCTACCGGCTCCCTGACCCTTGGTCTAGTTACCACTGTCCTGTCGGTTGTCTATTCTGCTGTTCGTGCTGGGTCTTCCACGACTCTGCTCTCCCCACCAAGTTCACCACGTGCAGGTACCATGGACAACATTTCTCGATCCTTATACCATTGAAATAAGCTTTCACGATGTTCTTTTCTTAGAACTTAAGCAAGTTTTGTTTACAAACTTCATTTATTTTTGTATTGAGAATAGGGGTAGGTATTTCGAAAGTCCATCAACCGTGTTTGGTTTTACATATATTTTGAGAATTCGGGGTTCACTTCTCCCTCTTTCCTCCGTCCCTCACCGCATTTTAGGATCTTTTCGAGGGGTGGAAAAGATACCAAAACAAATTATATTTAAGAGAGTACTTTAACATTCTGCTTTGAATGGTTGAAGGTGCTGGAAAGCCTTTGCTTCCAATGGACAAAGTAGACGAACACGAAGAACAGGGGAAAAACAAGCCAGTCTCGTATTCGTACGCCTTCTTCCACATAATCTTTTCTCTAGCAAGTATGTACTCGGCAATGCTCTTAACTGGATGGTCAACCTCGGTTGGGGAAAGTGGCAAGTTAGTCGACGTAGGCTGGCCATCTGTGTTGGTTCGGGTTATAACTGGGTGGGTAACTGCAGGTCTCTATATCTGGTCACTCCTTGCCTATTCTGTTCCCAGAGAGGGAATTCTAGTTCTTGGCCATTGTTATTGCAATAAATTTAGTTATATGTGTGTGTGTGATTTGACAAATCGGATTAAAAAAACATTTATCTGTGTCAAAAGTGGGAATCAGTAAATGTACTCTTTGTATGTGTGTTTGATCAGTGATGGGGTTGAATATACCCTCACTGAAATCCTAAGAACCCTTTGTTGATGCTATTATACCATAATGTAATTATAAGGTTGAAGTAAATGTGTTTAATTTTAACCCCTTCATCTTTGATTGTGT